AAAATGAAGACCCTCGGCAACCGGCTCATATTTATGATGGTCACGGTCATATGATCACTTTTGCAACCCTCTGGCAAGCAAAGTCAATGGGGAAGCCAGATTCACTTAATAATCATGTTACTAACTTAACAACTGCAGTGATTCACTTAACAACTGTGAGAAGAAAGGTCGCAAAATGGGGCAAAACTCACTTAACAACAGAAATTTTGGGCTCAGTTGTGGTCATAAGTTGAAGATTGCCTGTATTAGCATTTCCTGGATGACCTGAACCACCTCCTGATTCCCACAACGTCCCAGTCTGCCTGTAGACCCTGGAAGAATGAGAAGTTCTACCCATCTAAAGAGGCCCACGTGACTGCTGGGGCCCTGGGGGGGGGAACTCTGCTGGGATGGGAAAGAACTCCAGGCTTTGAAGCTGGGTTGAAGAGAGACCAAGGCATTCTGGTTTCAGGGCTGCAAAAGTTGGAGAAGGAAAGAAAGAAGGCCGAGCATTTTCCTAGAGAAATGAGCTGGCCCAGCAGCTGCCTTCTTTCCAAAATCTAAGCAAGGCAGGTAAAACCTTTAGGGCTGGGGGTGACAGAGTGGCAAGCGGAACCAATTTTTTTTCCCCTGGAAGGGTTCTACCAGGAGGCTATCAAGAGCAATCGGACTGGTTTACTGGCTGTTTCCGCCCAATGTGTTTAATCAAACCCATTGAGAACACAGCAGCTGCATGAGAGTGCATGGTAAGCTTTGTTAGTTTAGTAGTTAACCTTTTTTGTTTGCACAGGGTTTCTCAATCTTGGCAGCTTTCAGATGGGTGGACTCCAATTCCCAGAATTCCCCAGCCAACAAGCTGGCTGGGGAATTCTGGAAGTTGAAGTCCACCCACTTGAAAGCTGCCAAGGTTGACAAATGCTGGCTTAACAGATGGTTCAATTCAAGGAAACAGTAACCAGGTTGAGCCTGTTACATGAGCACAGCCACAAAAATATCCATTTTGCTTTTAAACTTAGCTCCCAAAGGGGGAAAAATCAGCCCAGCTGGCGGTGGGATGAGTGTGTGGATTGACAGAGGCTTAGCGGGTGAAATGGGTACCACAGATCTCTGCAAGGGTTAGAAGCCCATCCCACTTCAACTCTCGCCAAGCTGTCTAACCTGCCCCCCTCCTTGCCCCAATCCAACAGATGCCATTCCTTCAGCAACACCAGGAGGACAGAGCTGCTGGAAGATTCCAGATCTCCAATTCTGATCAGCCGTTAAGAAATTTGCTGCACATCGGGATACGGCAAAATCTGGGTCAAGAGGTGTCTCCCTGGCCACAGTTGTGGGAGGGAGGCAGATCAGTCTCCATCGACTTCCTACAAAGCCACAATCCCACCCTAAACATCTTTCCTGCGCTGTTTCCATCAGGCCTGGCCATCTCCTTCTCTTCGCTTCTCATCAGCCTTGGCAGCAAAACTTCTTTCCATTGCTGGATCTCCCTCCCTCTGGCTCAGCTCTAGAAGGGCTCCACATCTTAGAAAAGCCACAGCAGGAAGTGACCTCATGGTTTTGGCAGACTTGGCTGTCTTGCACCTCCAAAGGCGCTCTGCACCACTCCAGAGGACCACTTCCTCCCTGCTGCCTGCCAACTGCAGAGGACCCTCATCTTTCTGTTAACTCGGGGGACCTTTGCAAAAGAGGGCTTTTCTGATGTTTTCTGGATGCTCCGACTGTTCCCCCACCTCCTTCTTCTCTGTCTCCTTCCTCCAAATGTTCCCAGCCTGTCCCAAAATTTCCTGAGGCTCTCCAGCAAGAGGAAGAAGGAAGGAGAACAGCGTCTGCCGTGGACCTGGCTTTCCTCCTGCACTTTGCAATGCTTCCCATCCGTTTCTGTGAGAACGCTTGGCTCTTCCCTCCAGCCCTTACTCTGATGTTTCCAAGCAACTCTTGGCCAGATGTGGAGAAAGAAGGGTCAGGAAAGCAGCAGCCCAGAGCACAGATCTGGGGCACCCAAGAGAGCAGGAGGGAGGGAGGGAAGTCAGAGAAAGCAAGATGTCTTTCCAGCGCATTTTCTCAACCCCCCCCCTTCCAAGTTCTAACAGATGAGACAAAAGACAACAGCCAGGAACAGGCAAGGGCACCCTGCATATGTGTGTACAGTATGTGCCTATGTGTATGTTTGCACACATGAGCTCTACCAATGCACAGCGCAAACAACAAAGCTCAGCCTTATTGACCAATAAGAATCCTGAGAATCTCTGTTCATTTCCCCCCAATGTACATTTCTAAAGCAGTCAGAGAGGAAAAGATGGATGAATCTCACAACTGAATTCAAAGGAGTCACAGCACAGGAATCTGATGCTCTGCTGTCGCAATTAAGCCAGCAACTTAAAACCCACACCCTTGGTTAGCCTTGAACCTCTTGGTGCAGAATTGGGATTTTACTGCTCTGTGGGCTCCAAGCGTTCTGCATCATTGCTTGGATCTGCACTGGGCTGCGGGAAAGAGCAAACAGCTTCTGGTTGATCACACAGTCTTCAAACAGAATGGGCCAATCTATAATGCAGCAAAAATGTGCTCTTTAGGCCGTTTTTCTAAGCTGGGTAGTCCTCCAAGAAAACACTGCTGAAATCTGTTGGTAAGATAACACTATTTGGAGATGCTTTTTTTAAAAAAAATTAAGGGTGATGTTTAACATACTTATTTTGTGTTAACACCCTGACATCCCACCAAACTCTTCCTTTCTGGAGATGTCTTCATCTTATTTCTGGGAGCAACTGGACTGGAGGCTAAAAAGATGATTTCCATCCCAAATGCATCCTTTTTTTGCAACAAGCCCAAATTTCCTTTTCTGCTCCTTCCAGATTACCTTCACAACTCGAAAAGATAGGTTGGACCATCAGTTGTGGACAACATTATGGCTTGGAGGGATTTGAACCCACCAAAAAAGAAGTAATAGTAGTTGCAACAGGTCCGTTGTTTGGTGGCATCCCACAAGAAAAATCCAAGGTGAACATTCTTTGGAAATTTTCTCCTGGGACTGATGGCTATACAATTACAGATAGTCCTCAATTTACAGCCACAAGTGAATCCAAAATTTATGTTGCTAACTGAGACATTGCTTAAGGGAATTATGCCCCATTTTATGACCTTTCCTGTCACAATTGTTAAGTACATCACTGCATTTGTAATGTTGGGAACATGGTTGTTAAGTGCATCTGGCTTCCCCATTGACTTTTGTCAGAAGGTCACAAAATGGGAATCAGATGACCCCGGGACGCTGCAACCGTCATAAATATGAGTCACTTGCTAAGCGGCTGAATTTTGATCACGTGACCATGAGGATGCTGCAAAGGTCATAAAAATGTGAAAAATGGTCACAAGTCACTTTTTTCATTGCCGTCGTAACTTTGAATGATCACTAATTAAACTGTTGTAAGTCAAGGACTATCTGTACCAAAGAACCATGAAACACTGTTTTTGTACATGCTGACTGCAATGACATTATTGTAGCACAAAAGTGAAAAGATTGGGCATTACCCACCGTGGAGGAATGGTTGATGAAGATGATGGGATTTTCTTGAGATGGCCTAATTGACTTATTTGATTAGAGAAAGGACAATATCTACATTTATTAGTGGCAGGAAACTCCTTACGTAGTTTTAGCATAAAAAGGAAGAAAAGTGAACTTACAATTTATGGCTTTTATGATTAGACAGGATAGACACAGAAAGAAAAGAGTCATGATTAACTTTAGAGAGAGAGAGAGAGGTTAAAATATAATTGTACTGATAACTGCTGTGAAGATCAGAGACTGCCTCTTTAAATCTCTTTTTCTACTTTTTTCTTTTTGCACTTTTAGCTTTCTCTTTTATTTCTCCCTTTCTCTTTCTTCTCGTTCATTCTTAGTTTGCATGAGTTCTTACTATTGTTGTTAAAACCTCCAATGAGAAATTTATAATCTTGATCTATACATATACATAGATCCAAAGCTGTTGTCAAAACTGGGAAGTTAGGAAAGGTCAAGAAAGCTATTTGATCAGCCTCTTCTATTCTTCAGAATTTTCCCTTTACGCTACAGATATCTAAAGTTTTGTTTGAGGGAAATGGAAACAACATGCCTCTGTTCTACAGTACTAACGGCAGCTGCTTTAGTTGAAATGTACCATCTGCAACTGATCCTCCATTTGCAAGCATCAGACATCTTGAGATCAGACAAACTGGGATCAAGACATGAGATGACAAGGCAATGGTGACAGTATCCTAATGGCCTTGTCCCAGTGTAAATCACCCAGTGGTGAATTACAAGTTTAGTGTCCAGCACCACTGTAGACTATGGATGAAAGGGATGTTTTTGTAAACCCTTCCCTTACAATAAAACAGTCCAAGAAACAAAAATTACAAGCAGAAAACTAGCATGCCAGGGAAAGGACCAGATTGCAAGTTCTGATGTGCTCATTTTCTAGGGGCAGAGAAGCCTGGTTTGTTGATTAGAGGGGAAACAAATGCTCTTCAAAGAGGTACTTCGTTCCTGCCTCTTGGAAGTACTAGAATCCATTCTCGTGTTTCCTTTAACACAGTGTTTCTCAGCCTTGACAATTTTAAGGCATGTGGACTTCAACTCCCAGAATTCCACAGCCAGCAATGCTGGCTGTGGAATTCCGGGAGTTGAAGTCCACATGCCTTAAAATTGTCAAGGTTGAGAAACACTGCTTTAACGCAAGTACAGAGCAAGGCAGAGAGCAAGACTTTTCCACCCAGTTTATTATTCTCTGGATATCAACTTGGCTTGGTTTGCCTCCTTGAATCTTACGGGGTTTTAGAACCTTTAGCAATCTGTTGCTCTACATCAGGGCTGGGGAACTATAGCCCCTTTATGACTTGTGGACTTCAACTCTGCTCAGGAATTCTGGGAGTTGAAGTCCACAAGTCATAAAGGGGGTCATAGTTCCCCACCTCCGCTCTACACCAACCAAAGCAGAAAAGTCACGTTCACCTGCCTTGCACCCTCACCCCTCCATCTGCCCCCCCCTTACCTGGGCCGCCCATACTTGCAATGAAGATTCACCCTGAAGTTCCTCTCACTGTTGTCCACTTCGCTGTTGGGTGGCCGCAACCCTGGACCCTGGCTGCGCGGGAACCATTCAGCTGGCGGGTTGGCTCCGTTTTCCAGACCAATGGGCTGGCACACACTGGCGATCCCATCTGTTAAAGGAAAGCACACAGACCCAGGCTTGTGAAGAAGGGGCACAGGAGGAGCAGGAGGAGATGACACCGGTTGGAAACATTCCCCCCCCCCACACACACACACTCTTTCCAAAGAGATTTTATTTCAAAGGGATGCACAGCAGCGGTTGAGAAGTGTCCAGTCTGGGGATCTGTGACTGTGTGTGCCTGTGTGTGTGATGCAAGGCAAAGACGGCTCTGATGGCACAAATAGCTACATTCCCTTGTGCTACATTCTTCCTCTTCCAAGCTTGCAGGAGTTTTGAACAAGCTTCCATTTTGTGGTCAAGATGGAGAAGGTATGCTTGCAGACTCTCCCACCAACGGAATATGGCTCTCCCTGGCCAAATGATCCTTCTGGCTGGAGAGGGCTGGCCGAGGGTCCCATGAAGTGTGCTCAACCCTACTTGGCCCTGTCCCCTAGAAACAGGGGCCGCCTTGCAAAGGCAGAAGAGACAGCATGACCCACCCATTCGGTTTTGCAAGGAAGGACCCTCCTCCCTCCCTCCAGAGCCTTCCTGGCTTAGAAGCAAGTTTGTGCTAGGCAGCTCCCACCCGCCAGAAGTGAGGGAATCCTGTGTCTTTGTTCAGGGTAGCTGGTTCCTGCTCAAGGTCATTAAAAATACAAAGGGTTTGGCTTTGGAGTACAACAGATGTGCACGGCGGAGGGGAGGGGGCTCCTGGAGAATGCAACACACCTCACCCAAGAGGCATTACAGAGTGGGTCAGGGGTCTGTGTGGCTCTGATAAACAGACAAAATGTCTGTGCATCTGTTTGGATGCCAGACCTGGCTGTCACTCATCGGATCCCAGGCGCTCTCTGGCCTTTCCTTCCTCGTCTGAGTCCCCTCCCTGTTCTTCTCTTCCCTTTCTGTCCATGGTATCATAGCCCTGCAGGGGCATCAGCCAAACTCTATTAGCTACAGTCATCCTGCTATCTCAAGCTGTGTGGTGTGTGAGCAAGTATGTGTCTGTGCATGTGTGAGTGAGTAAGTGAGTGAGAGAGAAAGAGATTGGAAAGGGGGGAAGAAGTGGTATGCATGCTCTGCACACCAAAATCTGTGTCTCGGTTTTCACATGGCTTGTGCACTTTTACCTGCAGGATAGAGAGAGACAGGGGTTTCACTGACATGTGTCTATTTAAGAAAGCATACAACAGTGTCCATCTCTTTCAATACTGCAGCTATTCAATCTGTGTGTCCGTCCACTCAACATTCAGTCAGTGATGAGCGCAGCAATTACATACAAACAGCCTACTAAGCTCAGTCAGCTGTTGCCTTAATTGGCCTCTGAGTGCACGGGCATACATGTGCATGTGCTTTAGTGTGTTGCGCAAACCCAACTCACTCTGTTCGAGGTATCACACAAACCCATAAAGTGGGTAATTCACTAACCAGGCTATGTGCATTCAGGTGAACAATACAGCCAATAAAATAAACCAGAAATAGAACATGGAAAGCCAGAGGAATGGGAGCTAGCCTAGAGTCTTAAGCACAAGAATGAAAAAAAAAAAAACATTGCAAAAAGATACAGATATCCAACCCTTCCCATGCAGCAACATGAAAGAATAGCAGAATGAACTGTGAATTAAGCTGTCACCTCGGCTACTCCTTGCTAAGCAGTTTGGGCATCTCCTTACTCCAAACTCTCACTCTCCCAGATTCCATTTACACAGTGCTACACCCGGTTCTGGTGCCATTATATCTGCACAAGTCCTTTGCAAGCCAAGAATCCAATATTCCTTATCTTGAATGCAATACCCCCAATGTTTGGAAGGCAAGACCATGCTCCCAATCATTCCTAGGAAGTCAACTCCCCATCCTTGCCTTTTCTATTTCCCATCATAAAACGTAATTTCTTACTTATCACAACAATTCCAACAAGACGCGGTGACTGCAAAAATAGGTGAGCCATCGAGATATATGGGGGGGGGGAGATCGTTTCATTTTCATTTGACAAACACATCCTAAAGTCCCCAATAAATATATCAGATGAAGAGGTATGACAAGTCAACTCTGTCTTCCATTAAGCTAAACGAAGGGAAGGAAAGGAAAGGGATGGTATAGGGATGGGAAGGAAAGTGAATGATGAAGTTGAGAAACACTGACCTAGACTAAAGTCCAGCCACCAAGAACAAACTTTCCTTCCTCTCTGAAAACCTAACCTTTGGATCTGAATTCCCTTGGAATCCCAAATTCCCTTTCCTGGGACTGCAGGAACAGAGTTGGCCAAAACAGACCAATTCCCATTTTACAGATAAAGAACCGAAGTGGATATTGGAATTTGGGCCAGTCTAGGGCTGTTTATTTTTAGAGACTGATTATGCTCACACAACTGGCCTCATCTCATATTGACACATCTGCCTAGTCCATCTGCCAGGCTGTAAGGGAGGAGTAAGGACAAACAATGTGGACTGTGGCATTGGCTCTTCCTCCATTGGGTGGGACAGCATCTCAGGAGGAAATATACCTACTTATTCTAGGGAAAAGACCTCAGTGCAAAAGATCCGGTGCCAAGCCAGGGGTGTGGGTCATCAACATGCAGAATTCTGCCAGGGCCACCCATAAGCCCTGGCTAAAGCAGGATTTCTAACCTAGATCTTCAAAGCAAAGTTTGGGACCCAATCCAGACTAAGCCTTTGCACCTTTCCAAGTCCTAATGTCAGGGGAGGTGCTTGATGGGCTGCTTCAATCCTGAACGTTCACAGGCCCACTTTGGAGCAAATCCTTATGGTTTGGACTTTGGTTTTTTGGGGTTGTGATGATGGGAAGCCTACATGGTGACCAAAAAGGAGACCAAGTGATTGTAGACCCTTTCCTACCGGCTGTACTGGAGTGACATTCTAGAAAGTCTCTGTCAGGAGAGAGGAAGAGAGGGAGAGGGAGGGAGAGAGAGAGAGAGAGAGAGACAGACACACAGAGAGAGAGACAGAGAGAGAGAGACGCAAAGTAGCCAACAACTTATTAAGCAGCTGCAAAGAAGAAAAGGCGACAGATTCTGAAAAGAGAAATTAGCAAATTAGCACCATCTCCTGAGTTGTAATAGTTGATGAAGGGCATGGAAATAATAATAATATGGGAAAAAGAGTTTCAAAACCAAAGGTTTTCCTACCACACTTCTTTTATTCGCACAATAAACTTGTGGAGAATTTGAGGCTGACTGACAGTGGCCACTGAAGAATTTGAAGCTAGTCCTTGATGGCTACGCTACTTATTATACTCACATGGTTTGCCTGCAACCAGTGGCCACCTTTTGTGCTTTTCAACTGCTCTTTACATTCACCCTTAATTGTTGCATTCTTCCTCTCTGCCGTGCTCTCCTCTTCTTCCTCGCCCAGCCATGTTGCCATGGAACTGTGCCTTTTGCTTTACATCCGAAAATGGATTTGTCACCTTGATTATTTTTTTTTTATCCCACTATGTGTTCACACTTGGGTATCTCCCCTGCTGTGTATCACTCTGCTCGTACCTCACTGCTGGCACGGTCCTCCACAAGCTTTTCATGCTTGTATTTTTACACACCTAACTTTCCTGGACATCTAGCTGGCTTTGGTGACCTCCAAAAGCTGGGCACGGCTGGACTTGATTAGTAAGTGGCTGGGAAACCACTGAGAACTCAAGCTGACTGCGAAATCAAATCAAATCAAAACAAAAATCTAGGACAGGGGTAGGCAACCTTGGCTCTTTTATGACTCGTGGGCTGGCTGAGGAATTCTGGGAGTTGATGTCCACGAGTCATAAAAGAGCCAAGGTTGCCTACCCCTGATCTAGGAAGAAGGCAAGGGCAAACTACTTCCGTATGGTTTCCCCAGAAAATGACAGCCATGTCCATACAGCCACCAGGTGTCATCCAGTACTCAACTCAATGGCGACTTTTTTGATGTTCCAAGTTTTAGGATTATTTAGGTGGGTCAGCAACTGACATCAGGACAGAGGACAGAGATTCCTCTGAGGGGTCCTTGGTGCTCTCTGAGTTTTCTTGAAGATATTTCACTGCCCAAACTAGATAACATCATTTCTTAGTTTTTGTTTGGTTTTTAAGCTTTTTGGATAAGAAGTGAAACATTTTCAAGGAAAAAAACCCCAAGAAAATCCAATTTTGAAAAGCACATTTGGGATAACCATGACCTGATGATTGAGAATCTCTATTGACAGGGCTGAGGGTGTTACTTAGTTTGGTAATGAAACATTTGCAAGAAAACTACAAGCCCACCGAGCACCAAGGACCCCTCATTTCCACCCTGAGCTACAAATATTCCCCTTCAAAGATTCCTCTGTTGTGGCACTCTGGGTTTGAAACTCCCCTTGCCTGGAAGGCAGGCTGGTGCTACCTGAGATGGGCTTTTTGGTTCCAGGTGAGGATTAGGGACTTGAAAGCCTCAACTTGGCCATTCAATATTGTCCTTCCTTTAAAAAAAAACCAAAACCCCCCCCTGCTTTTTTCAATTGTAATTTGTGCATTGCGATCTGCTCTGAGATTCTTTGGAGAGAAATCCTGATCCTATCGCTCCTGCCCGCACAACTCAATCCCACTTGAGTCAACCTGTTTCTTGCTTGCAGGTTAAGGCGAGGATTGAATCCAGACCTCCCCGTTAAGAAGCCCCTTTCCTTTCCTTGCAATTTTGGAGTTGGCAAGTAAATGCCCTTCTTAGCACCCCTCGGTTCCCTCCCAGCATCTGGACATGGTGGCAGTTGCAGGCTGGGAAGGTGTAGAGTTACAGCAAAGGACCATGTGGAGTAAGGAAACAGCACTAGAAGGACCAGCCTAGCCTCAACTGCCTGGAGCTTGCAGAAACAGCCAGAAAGACAGAAGCAGGCAAAACACAGAAGGCTTTTCATTCGAGTCAGTGGGTCCCAGCCCCTCCCAACCCTCCGTCTTCCTGCCAGCTTCCCTTTAAACTCAAGTAGGGAAGACTGGGGAGAAAAAAAACAAGCTCCAATCCCAGGACCCTGCCTTCCTAGGGGACAAAGAGATGCAGA